GTAAATTGGGGACAGTTTCCTGAATCAACATAACGAGTTACTTCCCATTCGACTATGTAACTAGTATCGCTCGTAACGAAACGAGTTGCGCATTGCAAATATTACATCACTTGATTGCAACTTACATCAAATGGTGCACCGTTTCCTGGAAAATGCGACCCGTAATTAGCCGGAAAAAAATGGATAGATTAAGAGTAATTGACTTTGCAACCTTACTAGTAACTTCAATGGATAACAAAATGGATTTCTAAATCAAATTTTTATGATTCATATATTTTTTATAAAGAGTGAACTCTCTGCGCCTCGTCTTACTAGCGTACGACTATATTCTTTTTCATACAAAAGAGGCAGAGGGGGAAATATTTATTACAAATTATCGAATTAAAAAGAGAAATAAAAAGTGATGGTAATCGTAATTATTAAAACAACGAATTCGATTGATTTCATATCATTGATGATAATTTTGATATGATATGATAATTTTAGAGTAGTTTGACTTTCGCCTTTTTTAGGATTGCAATTAAAGATTAAAAAATTAGCTATATATTAAGTTCAAAGAAAATGAATGAAAAGCTTAAAATAAATTGATATAGAAATATGTATTATATATAATCGAGTTTCTTATCTTTGAAATCAGGGATCAAAAATGTTTAGTTTATCTTTTCCCTCTTTCCTATTTGAGCTTTCTATATTAACACCACATGAGTTATTCATTATTATATCGAAGAAATAATCCTTTTGATTATCATTACAATGCAGGCATGTTTAACAGAAAAAAGATATTATTGTAAGATGTCTTTGCTCTAATTCAAGAAGTTGACTATTTCTTTTCGCGAAGTGAAAACGAATGAAAAGGGATGGAAGAAAGAAAATTCAAAACATTTCGGGCCAATCCCTAATTTCGAAGATAAGGTGTTTGAAACTTCGCAGGATGAATTCTCATCGATCACTTTTAATTCGGCTATCTCGATTTTTTTGCGCCTACCCTTATGGGATAGGCTAGAACGCTATCGTGTGACTTCCCGACGTTCCTCCGCCTTCTCGGCCACACGTCGTGTAAGATTAGTCGCTTCACGCTCGCTCCGCCGAGCGGAGCGGAATCGAGCGTGTAGGTTGGGTCTGCTTCGGGGCGAGGTAAGGCTGACAGCATCACGTGGTGCGCCACGGGGTCTTAAACGAGGTTAATCGGCAGACCAACAGCGTCGGCGCAGTGACGACGATCGCACAAACACAAGCTCGTTGTCCTCCATGACTCCGCTCTTTCTCTATTCTTCCGTCTGTCCCACTCTTTCTCTCTATCTTTCTCTTCCTCTCCTTCTCTCTCTTTCTCTCTCTCTCTCTTTCTCTTTCTCCCTCTCCGCCCGTTTCGCGTTCTCGCCCTTTGCACTTTGGCCCTCCTTGGCAGTCGTGCGGTCCGATAATAGGAAAAAGCGTGAGTTCTTATAACGCGCTGCGCGCAGAGACATGCGAGCGCGCTGTTGAACTCGAAATTCAAATGCGATCGCGTCGAAATATTCAAATTCCCGACAGACGTGCTGCGCACAGTGCGCTCGCCTGATCGCCGCCAGTCCGCGCTGTGGTAGCCGCACTAGCCGCGTGTTTGCGCGAATTTTGAAGCAGGAATTATTTTTTCCCCTTTCTTTTTCTTCGTTTTTCTTTTTTGGAAATGATCGACGTGTAGGTACCGGGTGCGAGCACGGGCCACGCAAAAATCACGCGCCGCGCAACCGGCGAACGACGACGAAAGAAGAGGGAAATACTTTTCGAGCGAGAATCTTTCGAGGAAACGGCGCTTCCTCGGAATCGCGAATATACACACGGAATGAAAAACCGCGGGACAGATCCGCCAAGTGACGAATGTCGCGAAACGATCGAGGACGGAGGAAAAGAGTGAGGAGAGGAGCGGCGCCGAGCATGGAGAACGGAGAACGGAGAACACTCGGGATCGGCGTGACCGTGGAGTCGCGCGAGTTTCGCGTGCCAGCGTCGTACGATCGCGCGTGTAACGCGCGCGCGAGCGGATTAAGGGACTCGCGCTTAAAATCGGACAAACCGGCGAACACTTACCGATCAGCGGGAATATGCTGGGCTGGTCGAGCAGCGACTTGAGACTGTTTTCGACGAGGGTGGGAGAGGAGCGGTCCTTGTCACTCATTTCACGCACTGCGCCACGAAGCCTACAAGCGCACACCTCGGGCCTGCCGCAGCGCACACGCGGAGACACACTCGATGGCACACACCGCGCACGAGTAGTATAGATAGATCAGAGAGAAGGCACGGGACGGAACGGAGCGGCTCGCGGGGCGGTTCGGCGCGGCGCGGAGCGGAGCAGCGCGAGACGGAGCGGCGCGGAGCGGAGCGGAAAGGCGGACGGACGGACGCGAAGGAACGAACCGACGACGTTACCGTGTGCGACGACCAGAAGTAGAGAGAGAGAGGAAAAACACGGACCGAGGATATATGTACGCGCGGTGTTTCTCCTCGGTATTTCCTCGCCTTCGACGGCACACGCGCCCGCAGCCGCAGTCGTCGTCGCGTGCTTCGTATACGTCACGTACGTGTTGTGTGCGCTTCGTTGCGCGCGCCGGGACGGGGCACGATCGAAAAATAACGACGGTACCGTCGGTGACCGGTCTTGCGTGCCCGCGGAGGAGAGGCGCTTCGCCCGTTCGCGCTCGCCGAACCTCTCACCACGTCGTCAACGTCGATCCCTCGCACTATCTCAATCAGCCTGAAACGCCTGTACGGCCGAGCGCGCGGACCCGTTCCCTATACCCGCTCTCTTTTTCTCTCTCTCTCTTTCTCTCTTTCTCTCTCTCCTCTCTCTCTCTCTCTATCTCTTTCTCTCTCTGTCTCTGGGCGCGTTAAAATAAACGCGGAGCGCTGGCCCCGTGCTGGTGGTGCTCTTGAAAATCAATCTAAAAGTGGCTCGCCTCGTGGCGCGATCTCCTGGCCAACTGGTGGACCGAGTGCCGTTTTAAGCCTGCCGACGCCTGCCGCACTGATAACGAGCACCCGAGCTCTCATGCCTTGCTTGCCTCAGCGTTATCAGGACTTGCGCGCGCAGTCGCTACCCGCTCTCTTGCCGCGACCCCGCATTAGCGGGTCCGCATCGCGGCGCCGCCGCATCGCGCCAGAACGCTCGACGTCGGTCGGCGCCGGGTTCCGTTCGATCGCTCGATCGACGCATCGAGATGGGGGCGATGGGGCTTCGCGCAATAATTTGTAAAATAGCCGACTATCGAAACGATTAGGTGGTGTTATCAGGTCGCTGAGGCGAGAGAAGTTTCGTACAACGAATGATAGCGCCGTGATATCGGAAACGGGGAAGCTTATACGTAGCATACATTCGAAATACGTGCCACAATTGAGCTGACATTCAGGATAAGCTCCGATAAAGAGACCGGGTCTCCACGAGTGCGGGTTTGCGGATGCTGGGGTCGTCCGGTCCAGATTTCGATCCAAAACAATTTCAAAACAGAAGCTCGGGACTCGCCTTGGCTCGTCCACAGTATAGTCAGACATACTGTTATGCGCATGCTAATTCGTTACGATTAAATATCATTTTGTCTCTTGGATTAAATTATTCTAATATCTGATCTAGAGTTGTCCTTTAAACAGCATCATTATGCTATGAGAGATTAGATAAGATCAAGTCAAGTTTTTACAAAGCTCTTTATTTCCAACACGACAGTTGCTATCCGTCTGATGAATATTTCATAATTTCTCCTAAACTTGTATTAACGTTATATTAAGTCAATATAATATGTTGAGAAACTCTGAATATTAAACCGATCTAGTTGACGACTCGAGACGAGATATTATTTGGTTGAACTAGTCTAATTCCTTTAACCCCGTTAAACTAGCTATTATACCTATAGATATATATCGATTCGTGGAATCTCGACTGCAGGCTGTTTGGAAGAAAAACCTAAGCGTGACCTATTTCAGCGTAAAAGTTCATCAGTAGACATAAATGAAAGATACTTGGCACATTAACTCGTTAAATTTATGGACTTGTAGATAAGATAATTGGCACGCCTGTCGAATGATAAATGCTGTGGGATACATCCATGCATATCTGGTTGCTGTTAGCAGCTTTCTGTCCTCCTACTAGATGGCTATAGTGTCTTCTTCGACGCGCAAAGCTGTATAAGATTTTAAAAACATAATTTGCTATTTGTAGATTCGAGAGCCAAAAAGTTCTCATGCCAAAAAGCCGCATGAGATAACAATAACCCGCAGGGGTGGTTGATCCGCACAGTCATTTGGGTTTAGCGAACCCACAGACCCGAGCTTAGCACATTGTGGACACATACATTTACATGTCATACACATCACATATACACAAACATATACCGCGTTTTTATAAATGATAGTGCACAGTATATTAATTAAAGAAATACAAAAACAATAGATGAACTAACATTAAAAGAAAGAGAATAATTTCTAGAGAATAATTTCTTAAAAATTAAATATATAGAAGAAAAATAAAAACTGGAATTCTATAATTATTTCTAGTTTTATATTTTTTATGTTTCAGTTTTTTTAATGAGTTCTGCAACTTTTGTAAAGGTTATTCCAAATGCAGATATCTTAAGTATAATATTTTTCATATTATACATAGCTGTATCAAAATATAATAATAAATGTACAATGTAGGAAAATGCAAGGATAAAATGGGAAATGAAATAAGACGTTTTGGCATGATATTCAGTTGTATTATATAATTACGAATGAAAATGACAAATTACGCACAATGAGAAATATATAGAGAACGCAATATTGTAAAGCCTAGAACTATACGCTAGCTGCGTACCGCAGGGGGAGCGACGAAAGCGCTATCTGGGCGGCACAATTCTACAACTTTTGGGTCTTTTCGCCCTAGATACGTACCGCAGCGGGGGTAGAGGGGGCGATGAAAGCGCTATCTGGGCGGCACAATTCTACAACTTTTGGGTCTTTTCGTCGCTCCCTGAGGTACGCAGCTAGCGTATAATAGTCTCAGATCACGCTGTTTCATTACGTTAAAAGATATGTTGTCCTCGTGAATTAGATTATATGAATTGTGAGAATTACAGTTTCGTCAATCACTGTCGAAAAATCCTACAAATTGAGCGTCGCGTCATGAGCGGTGTAACGATATTAAATGAGACAATTATCGTGCAAATAATCAATTCCAATTAGATAGAAAAGATTGGTGGAATTAAGTTGAAAATATTTTGCACCACTATTAACTTACACGAGAATAATTATAGTACAAAATATGAATTTGCAAAAGTATTTGCAAAAAATTTATCTTTTGCGTTCTTCCGAATCTAAAAAAATTTGTCATGCATCTAATAAATCGAATTACACTAACTTGAACTACATCGCAATACATATTAGTATAAATTAAACTTGTTTTAGTTATATTCGAATTGAATCAAATTAACTCGAATCCAAAAATAATTAATTCATTAAATAATGCCTAGTTAATCAAATGACGGTCAAATGAAAACGATTGTCGACCGCAAAATGTACTTAACGTGTCAAACTTGTCCGTAAATTTCTGGCGAACAAAGTCATTGTCATGCACGAAATCATTAATAATCGCGACACTCGTGTGTGCAGAGAAGAAGTTTCATTGATACTGATATGACGGAGTTGATATCAGCAGTGAAACTACAAGAGATATGGCTGATTACAAAATGTCAGGATTATTATACTATTCTTTTCTATACTTACAGAATGGCCGCATCATCTACGAAACTCTCGCCCAATATTACGCGGGCGTATATCAATTCCTTATTTTCTTTATGCGCTTCCTATCTATCCATTAACACATTTCAATAGATAATTTTCTTGTAAGAAAGTTTAATAAACCGCATGTACACTCGAGTCGTCTTATCGGAACGATCGAACAAATAGTAATTACTATCGAGCGCTTTATCAGTACTACAGCTCTACATTTTTTATCAACGTAACAAAAGAAGCGATATTTACAAAATTCCTGGATATTCTTTATCGGTTTATCTAACAATAAGTATATCATTCCTGAAAATCGCGCTCGCGGTCCGAGCTAGTCTAGTCTGCGAGATCCGACTGAAACCATGACGATCGCTTGCGGTGGGATCATAATCGTCGGCGACAGCTCCCGCGACACTCAAACCCAACAGACGCTGACAGACTCGGTGGTGGTGGTTTGTGGCGTACCACCGAAGCTCGCTCGATGCTGCTTAAAGAGTGCCTGGATCTCCGCCGGCGTGGAGGACCACCGTCGGTGCCTGGTCTTGTCCAGAGGCACTTCCGGCAGACCTACCTCGGTGTGACAGCCCTTGATCGGCGTGACCGGTAGGGCTGCCGAAGCAGGCAGACCTACCTCCTGGAACGAGCTGATCGAGAAGAATCCACTTTCGCCCTCGGCGCTGCTCACCGGGCTGCTGGCCGGCTTTACTTTAGATTTGCCAATTAGTCCTGTAGACTCCTTTTTCTCTAATCGCTTCGCGGCCCTGGTGAGCGTCGAGATCGGTGTGCCGTTGGACGTGGCTCCGCTCGATGACGCGGTGAACGCGACAAGGTCCTCCTCCTCGGTCGTTTTACTGCTACTGGAGTTCCAGGAGGCAGTGTCGGGCGACCTTCTCACGCTCGGTGTGAAGTTTTGCAGATTTCGGGTAAACTCGGTGACGGACGTTTTGACGAGACTTGGCGATCTGCTGTCGCTTTGCTGTCCACTGATCGATTCGTTTCCACGACTGCTGCTGGAACATCCGGAATAGGCGGCGGCTTCTTGCAAGGTTGTCGAATTGGCGAAGTTACCGGTCGATAAGGAAAAAGACGCGTCATGATGACGATGATGGTCCACCGTAGGGGAAGGAGAGGATCCGTTTTCCTCGACCGGCGTCATTCTCGTCAAATCGGGCTCTCGCATCGATAGCAAGGATTCGACGGTTCGCAGTAACCTGTAAAAACATTTCGCAGATCTATCATATTGATTTTTCTTAATAATGCTAATAATAACAAAGATAATAATTAGTATTAATAGTAACAAGTTAATAATTCGACTTGTGAGCAATACGGTTTTCTGAAATCTTTCGCACGCACCTAAACGCCTCCTGAGATAGTTTCTCCGGCGGTATCTCGTCCGGGTTTAATTCCGTTTGCTTGGGTTCGCGATAGACGACGTTATCAGGCACGTCGTTCGTCTTGAGATCCGTCGGTGACTTGATATGTGGCGATGTGCAGTGCACCGGATCGTTTCTTCGCAGAACCGACCAGGTGAACTCACGGAAGCAGGTAGCATTCGGCGATCCAATCTGAGTGACCGATTTGGCGCGTGTGAACGGCGAAGATGTCGACGACGAGGGCGACGGCGTAGCGGTTCCGCGACTCGGCGACGGGTCCGCGTGCACTACCGTGTGCACGCTACGGCTACGCGGCACACGTCTCTTATCCTTGGGATTTTCCTTGGCGTGCAGGATCTCCAGGCTCCTGTGAGCCCGGCCCAAGAAATGAGCGACCTGTTCCATCGTAGAACGATACATTTGCCTGTTCGATTCGACCTGCGAACAAACCAAGCGAACGCTAATTCTCGATCCCTCTGCCGCTTCATTGCATAAATTTATATCCTATCCTTTACGTGAAAAAATATGCGAGAATACCAATAATACTATTAATAAAGAAATAATCTAATTTGTAAGCAGATAAATCGATAAACGATATCGATCTACAAGAAAGAGAAAAAATGAAAGGAAAAAAGTATAAGCAATAACATGGATCTTCATGAATTATTAATAGTTTATTTTCAGAATCTCTTACGCGCGCGATATAATCGATGGAGCTTTAGCTTCCTTTCAAAGAGTATTAAACTTTCTGACACGTTCCATAAAGAATTCTAGCGAGAAAATATAAAATACAAGTATCCCAAGATATCGCATACAAATCATAACTTTTTTTATTATATAAAAATTAATTATAACTATATTTCAATCAAGAAGATAGATTATATTCGAAATACTTTTCCTAAAACTCGAGATACTATATCAAAGCAAAATGTTAATAGCGATCGAAAGATGGATCGTACAGTGCACGCATGTAAGTTTCATTCATAAAATGATAATGGACGAATAGAAAAACTCGGATCGACGAAAATCGCATGGATCATCAAAGAGGAAAAGTAGTCGATCGCGTATGCCGACCGGTTGTTACGTGACGCGATATCGAGTAACCGGAGCGAGGTAAACCGGTTGGCCACGTTATCGGGCGCTTCTGCTTCTGCAGATCTTCAGCTATCGCGTGATTACGAACCTGTTTGACCTGCCATTGGAGCGTGTCGACTCGCGCTTGAAGAAAGACGTTTTGCAGGAAGGCGCTCTGCAGCCTCCGGTTTTCCTTCTTCAACGACTGGCATTGCTGCAACGAGAAAATAAAACTACGTTACTTACATATCCTCGGATCGTACTCTGTCGGATATTTTAGATTTTAGATTACGATTGATGTAATGTTGCCGTCATGACTAGGTTTAAGGAGAGAAATCATGGAGTTTACATAATTAATTAAAAGATAAAAGAGACATTTTTAGATATGGGAAATTCGCAGGATATTTTTCTTCGAGCGGGAATATTTTTCTGGAGAGATTTCTCCAGACGGCATGCTATTCTCCATCAAACACACGCGTCGCCTGTATAGCCGCGAATTCGCCATGGTTTTCCGCGCGGACTTTCTTCCGACAATACCTTTCCTTCCGACGTCTTCTTTTTCATCTTGCACCGCGTGCAGTCGTAACTAGATTCGAACTCATGGAGTCCGCGAGCGGACTTTATGGATCCATTGACGCTGCCTCGCCGCGCATTCCACCTTGCTTTACTGGCAAAAACTCATGTTTCTACCCTAGTAACGATCTGCTTGGAGAGTGTAGGTAGAGCGATGAAAGAGACGGAACATAACGTGCGTATATTTGCGAGAAAGAAAGAGAGAACGAAAGGAGAGAAAGAGACGAAAGACGCGGACAAGTTGCGGGCTTAATAGTCGGTACTTCTTCGAAATCACGATTCTAACCATCAGGGTGCTCCGGTGTGAGACTCGGCGTGCACGGAATAGCGGTCCATGTGTGTCGCGAGAAATGAGACGGATGAAAGAGATACGAAAAAGAAGAGACGCAAAAAGCGCGAGCGTCGATAGCTTTCCGCAATTAATCACAGGACGCCGCTGGCGTGAACGTATTATTACGAATTTTACGCTATTCCGCTAATTGCGAAGAGTACTTATGTCGATTAATAACACGTCCGACGATATAATAGCGCCGTTTTTAAAAAATGCTCTCCGTTAAACGAGCTATGTAATGGGGTCTTCGAGGTAATCCGCGCGCATCGGTTAATTAATTAAACGCAATCGTAATCAGCATAGGCCTACAAACCTCCTTCTACTGACAACACACACACATACTTTCCTGTTTTTATCAATATATTCAATAACGTCGTGAGATTTTCTATACCTTCATACCTTTTCTGTACATACTTTAGTCACCTTTTTAGGCTTCAAATTATCAAGTAGATTTGGAAAGTTTAAAACAATTTATCAAGTTTAAACAATGTGTGACTATTATAGCGAAGAAAATGATGACGAAACGAAAAAACCGACGATCATTAACGCCGAGCGATTTATTATCTGCGCCGCAATAATTATTATGCTATCTTAACAAACTGAATATTCTCTATCTTGACGTGGAATATTGTACCGAATAACGTTGTCGGTTTTCCAGGAGAATGCGAAGCGACGGCGAACGGGCGGGGAGATGGTCCATAAATCAGAGCCGCACCGAGAAAAGGTCACGGAGGAAGTCGGAGAGAATCGGCACGGATTTAACGAGGTACGCTTCACTTTCCATGTTTTCCACGGGAGCGTCTAAACGACTAACGAAATTATATATCTCGAGTCTCGCGACGCCGCGAAAAAGTTTGGTATTAATTCTCATCAGACGCTATCGTTTTATTCGCGCGTTCCTGTTTCCCTTCCACGCTTAATCGATCGGCTCGATACCGTGCGGCAGCTGTTGGCCGCTCGCAATACCGATATACCGTCCGATAGCATCCAGCGGATCTATCGATTCCGCATCTCTCAAAGAATTTAATGAAACACCTTCGACCAAAGTCGAATAAGACGAAGGCAATTTTCTATCTAATTTCGATAGCCATCGCCGGCAGCGTGGCTAAGTACCGGAGTAGGATCGTTGTAGTTATTAACGGACGGCCATGGTCGTCCTTCGAGGATAGCTCGTTACAAAGATCAACCTTTTTTTATTACGTCCCGAAGTAGAATGCTCGCTTTTGCAATTCACAATACCGCTAAAACGTTTCGTAGCATTTAGCATTGTCGCGATACTTTCAATTAATTAATATTTAACGAGGAAATTAGATCTCGAAAATTTTACAAGGAGAAGCTACAATGAATAGATCTCAATGCGGTTCTCACTTTCATCGAAGTTTCCTGTCGCGAGAGAGAGAAGATGGAACGATAGAACGCGCGCTACTATACTACGCGCCGCGTGCGTAAAAACAAACTTTCGTACGAGATTGCACGCGGCATCGCTGAACGACTAGAAACGAAGAAATACTGAATAATTCAGGCAGTGACCGTAGCGAGTGACGTCACGATAGTATTCAGCCGGTGGACTGTTCAGGCTGAGCGACCATGCGTAACCCCATCCGCTCGGCCGCCGCGCCGCTGCCGCCGTCGCCGCCGATGAAAATTTCAACTTTCCGTAAATATACCCTCACACACTCGACGGAAAAATGGAGGAAATACCAGCGAAGAAAAAGATTCAGTCTAATTCGCGCGCGCGTTATGAAATCGCGAGACTTTATCCGACTGAGGTGCTGCGCACCTCAATCGTGCCGCGATTTTCGCAAATCGAATTACCTCTCGACGAACGAATTACTTTTTACGCCGAGTCTATCCCCGTGTCCGTTACACTTGTGCCATAATGCGTGCCTTAGTTACAACATTCAGCCCCTGTAAAAGAGTCGTGACACGATCGTGACGTATCCTCGCCGCGAAAATCTGATCCAGACGCGATTCTCGTGGACGTGTACGGCTCTTTCGACATCTTTCATCCTGGCCTCGTTATCATCCGGAGGCCATCGCCGGATATCGCGCAATACATACCGTCTTTTTCCCGCTATTGTATGGAAATGCTAGGAAGAGGTCTTTCTCGCCGTGTCCCTCGCGGAGCCGATCTGTTCGCAGTTACAAAGGATGAACGGAATAGAAATCGAAATACGACTGTTATTAGGGACGACATCGGGCCCGCCATTGTTCCGATATTCGCACCGTTCTCTAAATGGTTCAACGTCAATGTCAGCTGTATGTCGTGCTCGATTGAAAACTTTGGCATTCAAGATCTTATCTATTTTACGCATCCGTTCTCTTTTACTTCTATCTTTCGTCGTCTGATGAAGGTTCGAAAATATTTAGTTATCTTAATTGAACAGAGAAATATGTATAAATATTTATTATACGCAGAAGGAAAATTTGTAATTAGGACAAGGAAAAAGTATTACCTTATCGCAATGGAAGACAAGGATTTTCTTATAGAAAACATACTTTTAATCAATTCTTTTATGGGAAAGAATTTACATTGACTTTTCCACAACTGAAAAAAATATTTAATTAATATTTCTTCACATGTCTTGCCTTCTTCAACTTCATTTATTAGAATCAATAATTAGATTTTAATTAAGATGGATGGGATCGCGCGCATTCCTCCGGTCCTGCCCTCGCGTTCGGATGAAAGGATGCTCGAATTGCATCGCTCCTTTCACTTGTTCCCGCGAAACGTCTTTGCGACCCACGCGCGAAACAAGACCGGCGCTCGCCTCACGCAAATCGAAATTTCTTTCGCTCATTCGAAAAATTAATCTAGCTTGTCCGACGCGTGAGAACTGCGCTTGTAAGTAATACGGGCGCGCTTAGTGGTCCGCTCGTCATTAGGAGTTAACGTCAAGTTTCACCTCACGTGGGAGATTTTCACACAAGAGAGGATATACGATATATACACAGAAAGCGATGCGGAATATTTATCGCGCGCGCGTTGGCGTAGATATTCGTTTCTGATTGCACAAAGATTAATCTGTAATATATACGGCGCGCACGCGGGGAAGCGGCTGCCTACTATATTTCTCGCATTTATTTTATACACATATATATAGGAAGAAAAATCCCCTGGGAAGCTATTCATGCCCCGCGTTTATAGTGTTCATACACGTATCGCACGGCCGAGCAGACGCTCTGACGAGTCCAGCGATTTTTTTCGCCTTTCTTATATTCTGCCTTGTATTCTATCCTTGAATGCTGGCATTTGCCGATGCGCGTGGGAAGAAGTTGATGAAGTTCCGCAACCGATAGACGTACTTGTTACACGTATAAGATCAGGTAAAAGGGAAGGTCCTGCGGGCGCGCGCGAGTACGACGTTAGTGCCTTCGCGGATTAATTCTTCATTTCGTGCAGCCGTTATTGGAATCAGAGTGAAATTGCACGAGCACCTCGTAAATCCGTATCCCCCTTCCCTCCCTTCGTCTGCGATAGGCGTGGAATGTATCGTCCGCACTGTTCGCATTCGCTATCGAGCGTTACGCTCCGAAAGGAGCTTAATTCTTTGTGTCGACTTGTGAGAAAGCTCTGCCCCAGCATCTCTCGAGAGTCTCGAGAGATGCAACGGCGAGTCCTGGGGAGAGCGGGAAAAAGAAAAAGAGAAAGAAAGAAAGAAATCCTTCGAGATTAACTCGAGTGCGCACGCGGACTCGTTCATGCGATAGTAAATATTCCAGCTTACGACCTGTTCTTGGCAACGCGGCGGATACGTGTAAGACTACAGCCGCGCATCGGCATTCGACGATTTGCCTTTAACGATCTATCTCGATCCACTTAATCCATTCATTTTGCGGAGCCCCTCTCGGTGGAGAGGCTTATAGACACTGCCTCGCGTTCATATACTCCGCCGCCGGGAAGAGAATCGTGTACACTCGCGAGAGAGCATTACTCTTACATTTAATAACGTTGTTGATTCTTACTGAAGGCGGGATTAAATCATACGTGCGTTATTTATAATTCAGCCGGCAGAATTTATTGGTAACTTAATTAAACGTGACATTACACGTCGCTGTTATGATCGAGAGATATCATACTGTGATAGTCGTGGAACTAGTGTCTATAGCAGTCAACAAAATATCGTAATATAGAAAGACATTACTTAGCTTGTAATTTTCATTAAAACGGAGGTATTTACGTGCGCAATAATTTCGAAAAAACAGTAAAAACTGCAAAACTGTATATATCTATGCGAATTGACGTAGACGTATTTTCCCCCCCGAACGGAAAGAAAAAACGGGAGAGAATAAGACGAGACTAATGAGAA